CAATCAAATAGAATTAATAAATTTAATTTTTATTTATTCAGTTAAAATTTTTCTTTTGCATCTCAATATCTCCCATCATTATACTTTAAATCAATAAAACTCACATCATAACTTACCTAAATAATAATAATAATAAATATTCAAATCTTATTTAAAGAATAATCTGATTAGTTATCCCAACTCCTAAATTTCGCGAACACTGGCAGAGGAGCTAACGGATTAGGTTAGATGAGATTTAAGTAGTTGAAAGTAACATTCTCTGACTCTATAAATTTATTTATTTTTTAATTTTATTTTTTCCTTGTGTGATTCTCTTTTTCTACTGTTGATTTGCTTTTGGTTTCGATTTTAGTAAGATTTATGTGTTTGTTTCCAGGTTTGCATGGTAGAGAAGAATTATTGATAATTATGGCTGCAATCGAAGTATCTATGTCCGTTCCATGCTAAGGATTTGGATTGAAATTTGTTTTCTTGGGTAAAAATCATAAAATTGAATTTAAAAAATACTCTATAAATTTATTTATTTTTTAATTTTATTTTTTTCTTGTGTGATTCTCTTTTTCTACTGTTGATTTGCTTTTGGTTTCGATTTTAGTAAAATTTATGTGTTTGTTTCCAGGTTTGCATGGTAGAGAAGAATTATTGATAATTATGGCTGCAATCGAAGTATCTATGTCCGTTCCATGCTAAGGATTTGGATTGAAATTTGTTTTCTTGGGTAAAAATCATAAAATTGAATTTAAAAAATGGATATTGAATTTTTTATGTTTTTTGTCATTTTATTTTATTAAAAATGTGAAAATTTATTGAGAATTCAAGATTTTACTATATCATTAGATTTTTGTATAACTAAGTAAATTTAAAACTTTTAAATATCATTATGTTATTTATTTTTATTCTCTTTCTATACCAATAGACCATTACTGCTATTTGTTAGTTTATTAATTATAATTCAATTAATTGAAAATGAAAGCTTAATATAAATTTTCATATATATTATAGTTAATTTGTTATTACTATAGTTGTATATAATAGCATAATATTTAGGGATAATTTCTAAATATAATTTTGATTTTTTTTATGTGATTAAAATAGTCCATCTTAATAGTATATAGAAGAGTTAGATGATTTCTTTTATCTCTAAAAAACTCAATCTATTTTTTTATTTTATTTTTTTTATTTTTTAAATTGAAATAGTCCATCTTAATAATATATAGAAGAGTTGGATGGTTTCTTTCATCTCTAAAATACCCAATTTATTTTTGGTTTTTTATTTTTTAAATTGAAACATCAATGGTTTATGTCTATAAAACAAAACTGATAAACACATTAAAAAGATACACATTTTTTTTTTCATTTTTTAATATGTAGGATATTTACAAATGGAAAATGTTTGACATCCCAATTTTTTTTCATAATCCAACTTATAATGATGTAGCTATAAGTGTCAATTTTTATATACATATGATAAGAGAATTAATTAAATTATACATTTTAATCGACTACATACTCAAACTTTGACTATTTTAATATGTTATTTCACTATAATTTTAATTAAGAGAATTTTCCACCCTTAATATATTTTTTTATCAAATTATAATTGGATAAAAATTAAAAAAGATGAAACGTTAATTTTTTTTCATTTTTTAATATGTAGGATATTTACAAATGGAAAATGTTTGACATCCCAATTTTTTTTCATAATCCAACTTATAATGATGTAGCCATAAGTGTCAATTTTTATATACATATGATAAGAGAATTAATTAAATTATACATTTTAATCGACTACATATTCAAACTTTGACTATTTTAATATGTTATTTCACTATAATTTTAATTAAGAGAATTTTCCACCCTTAATATATTTTTTTATCAAATTATAATTGGATAAAAATTAAAAAAGATGAAACGTTAAAAATTATTATTTTTTCCATCAAAATTGGTGAAAAAAAAATTCATATCAAATCAAATTTTTTATTCAAATTTAAAATCAAATTAGATAAAATAAAAAAAAAATGATGAAAGTTTGAAAATATTTTGAAATTTTCTTATTTATAAAGACTAGAAATTTGTATGTGTATTATATTCATATTGTATTTTTAGTTATGAAATTGAAATAAAAAGAAATGTAACTTAAATTATTGGATTAAAAATAGAAACATCATATTAATTATTGTTAAATATCACTTCACTTCATATTTCATAATAAAATTATATGTTTGTTTTAATTATGACTTCTAAATTTGTATATTTTCATAACAAGAAGACGTATGTCATGGCTCAGTTAATCTCATTTAACCAAGTTTAACTTTTTTTAAATACAAATTATCAAACTTGCACTAAATATATATATATATATATATATATATATTTAAAGTCTTTATTCATTTTTATTTTTTTTTAACTATTTCCCTTTCAAAAACAAATATAACAATTTTTTTAAATTCATATATGTTTATTCTAAAATATTGAAATATTAGAACTATATGTCACTTTTTTATAACAAAGCATAATTTTAATTGTTAATTGTCAATACAACAATTTTAATTTATCTATACTATATATTATAGTAAAGAAATATTTAAAACAAAACTCTTAAATTTATATGTAAAATTTTATTTACGAGAGATAAAATACAAAAAAAAAATAAAAATAATAATCTAAATAATATATTATTTTATTCTGTATATAATACAGGTGATATGCTAGTTGGAACTTACACGTAAGCACTCTATAAATAAACTCAAATTTTAATCAAAATACAAAACTAGATCCCTATGGTCTAAATTTAACCATGAGTCAGTCACCACCTCCGTAGTTCCTTAGACAATGCGTGATACGCGAAAAAGTCGTGATACTTCTTTTTTAAAAAGTAAGATATTGTAAAATAAAACGAAGCGAGGATTGGTTTTGACAATGACCTCTGTTAATAGTTTTTTTTTATATATTTTTTTATTTTTTAGAATAAAATTGTTGTTAAAATAATTAATGCATTTAATAAATATTAAAAAAATAAAATTATTAGTAAAAGAATTGGGTAGATTCTTAGTTATTCTATCATTTTTTTTTTGTGGTTAACTTAATTTTTTTCTGAAAATAAATATTTTTTATTTAATTAGCAAAAAAATGTTACACCCAAACAAAACAAAGCCTAAATCTTTTTATATTTTGATTCCATATGACAACAAACCATGTATGGTTTGATTATGCCTCCGTTTGGAAAGTATGTTGGCTTTTTAGTTTTTTGGTTTTTTTGGCTATTTTAGCTTGGGCTAAAAAGCTTGGTTTGGGAAGGGCTTTTTGGTTTTTTTGACTTTTTTTGTGAGAGAAGAGTGTAATGATTATGGGTTGGATGTGATGTTTTGTTTGTTATGGCTAAAATAGCCTATTTTGTTTTTTGTGGCTAAAATAGCCAAAAAAGCCCAACCAACTTCTTCCCAAACGGTTATGTATTCTTTGGAAAGAGTTGGACTTCTGTTAAGATGGTCATTTTAATTTAAAAGAAACCAAATTCCTTTCGAAATGCTTTGTTGTTCGCTGTTTTATGTTACGTATGATTAGATGTTTGTAATTAATTTTGTACTTGAAAAAAAAAATAATTATACAAGAAAGAAATCAAATAGAGTAATATATTCTTGAGTTAAATACCTAAAAGTTTTGTTTACAAATATTATGGTAACTCAAGTCCTATTTAAGATTTTTTAAACTAATAAGTCCTATTTAGTAAAACTGAGAATATTATTAATTTTTCTCAAATTTTAAAACCAAGAACACTATCAATTTTACATAGGAATGTTCCAAATAATTATTTCACTAATTGATGAAAAAAAACAGAGTATGAGATTAAAACGTTTTTGCTCTTTTATTTATTGGTTTAATTCAACTATCCAATAAAATCGAGAACATTATCAGTTTTTCCCAAAATTATCAATTTTTTCATTTTTAAAGTTTTTATTTTTATTCTTTTTACAATTTTGCACAATAATATTCCATCATCATACTCCTTTATAGACACAAAAATTTCAATTTCGTATAAAAAAAATTTCAAGTTTTTTAATTTTTTTCAAAAAAAAAAATACACATAATTTTTTTAATTTTTTTTTTCAATTTTAAAATTGATGTTTTAAAGTTTTGAAAATCAAAATAAATTTTAAATCATCATGTTCCTTTATAAATAATTATAAATGATGAACAATAATTGTTTGAAGAGTAATTCTAACTGTTATAAATTTAATGGGACTTAAAGGTTTAAAACCTCTTAGTTAGAATTTAATGAAATATAAGTTCATAAATTAAAACTTATATGTAAATGCCTCTATATTCTTCTTGCTTGGTAATATTTATAAATCAATTTATATATATAGTGCATTTGCTTTTAAGAAGTTGATTTGTTGTGTTTAATTTATTTGACCAAAATAAGTATTAAAAAAAATATGGTACAATGTGTTATCTTTTTTGGGAGAAATTATTAAAAAAACTCTTAAAATTTAACTTTTGTAATAAAATAAATTAAGAATTTTTAATTTTGTCAATTTAAACATTAAAATTTTAATTTATTTTTAATTTAAATCATTTGTCTAATTCCATTAAGTCCAATCAATAAAAAAATGAATATTTTAATCATTAAAATAAACGTAGATACACACAAAATGCTTAAAATATCATTTTTTAGTTAAGTTTTAAAATGAATGCCTGATTTGGGAACACAAAATTTTAGCCAAAAAGTCACAATAAAAAATTTAATTCCCAAAATAATCTTAAAACACTATTTTTTTTAATCAATTTTACGTAACAAAAATAAGTAGATAATTTAGATTAAAAATAAATCAAAAAATTTAAATTTAAATTGATAATAAAATTTAAAACTAATGATTTATTTTGTCATAAAATCAAACCTTTGATTTTTTATTTTAGTTTTTTGTAATTTTAATTTTGCTTTGTTTTGTTATATTTTTTCTTTCTAGAGGCATGAATTTTCCTACTGCCATCATTGTTGTAAAAAAAATTTAAGGTCAGACAAAAGAGAAGGTTACAACTGCGCGCAACGCCACGCCGACACACTTCGAGATCTCTCTCTCTCTCTCTCAATTTGCGCTCTCTGAGAGCTCTCTGCTTTGGCTCTTCACACATTTACATACAACTCTTCTCTCTTCCATTTTCACTACATTCGTTTGAGGTATTGCTTGTTCTCTCTCTCACTTTACAATTACAATGTAGGTTTTGTGTTGTTCAATTTTATGTTTTGAAATGCTATTACTCTTGTTGAACGATTGCTTTTACTCATGCTTCGATCGTGTTCAGTGCCTAGTAATTGCTGCTATATTGATTGTTTAGTGTTTCACTGAATCATCGTTTGAAGCAAATTGAGGTCAAAATTGGGCCTTTTTTTTGTTCCATATGTGCATGCATTGTTTTACTTTCTGTGTGATTGAATGTGATTGCTTTTTTCCTATTGTTCTCTTGTATTTCTAGAGTTTTTGTGCAGTTAATTGAATGTCTAAATGAATTCATTTGATACTCTTTCGTGGGAGGTTTGGAACTTGTATTTAGATTTTAATTATTTTATTGAAATCTTATGGTTTGCTATTCGATTTGATAAATAATTCATGATTAATGCATGTAGATCGATGAGAATCTATCGGTCAATCTATTTTGGGATGAAATTGATTGTTAATTGTATGATTCACAATTTGATTTGGGATTCAATTTGTGTTTTACAATTCATTCAATTCTTGAAACTATCGGATTGGACTATTTTTGACCCCTTTTTACTTCTTATTTTTGGATAAAAATGTTAGAATAAAACTTATAGGAGTGCACAATATGGAAACAACCATACCTATGCATGATTGTTTGTTGTTGGGTGATTAGAGGGTTTAATTAGATTTTGGTGAAATAAACATGATTTAATATGACATGGGTCAGGTCAATAAGACACAATTTTCACAACTTTTTTTTGAATAATACACACACATTTCAAAGTGTTTTAGGTTTTAAAATGAAGGGTTTTCATATCTTGTTATGAAGGCAATATCTTCCTAATTAGATGTTGTACTCACTTTCATATATCAGAATGTGCCAATTTATTTTCTATTTTTTAAATTTATTTATTTATTTATTTTTTCATGTATATGATTGTTTTAACATAATTTCTTATAGTTTGTGCCGATTCTTATGATTCTCGATTTGACAATTATTGATTAATGGATTGTTGATTATGTAGTAAATTAGGCACTTTGATGAAGTGCATGGCATTATTTTGAAAACGGTGTTATTTATTTTTGAATCCCTGCTGTATGTCTGGTTATTATTATTCTATTTTCTTGTTAAGAAAAAAATGCATTTGACAACTAGTTTACAATGAAAAATAATAATGCCTTCTAATTTGTATACAGAACACAACTCCTGAATTTTTCATTACTCGTCCATCTATTAGAGCCTACTTATAAGGACTGAGAATTTTAACTTACTGCTTTCAACTTCTAATATCACTGTAGACAAAAAAAAAAATAAATAAATAAATCACCATGCTTTATTAGAGTGTGTGTACGTATGCGTATTTGTATATATATACATAAATATATAAATACTCAAACTTGTGTATGTGAGCTTCTTTCCTCATGTAGTGGAGCTTGATTGAGTAGGGAAAGGGAGGAAAACATGGTGTTTGGTTCTGTTGACATTGATGTGGTTAATGTGGGTGAATGAATGCAATAGAAGAATGTTTCATGGATCGGAGGAGCCTATTTTCACAATAAAGAGTAGATTATTGTCATTTTTGTTTAGTTGGTTTTTGGGGATCCATCCTTAAACCAAATTTTGGATTTTGTAGAGGTCTTTGATTATGTTTTTGTTGTATAGATGAGATAGATTTTAGTTTGTATACAGCTTGTAAGACCTTGGTTTTATTTTGTATACAGCTTGTATGACCTTGGTGCCTCTTTCTATAAAAATATTTCCCATTTTATGCTCCCCCTCCCCCAAAAAAAATAAGAAAAGCACTAGTGTGAATCAGTGGTAAATGATGTTTTTTGCTCTTGCAATATTATTGCAACTTATTGCAACTTATCGTAGGTTGTGTGAATCAATTCAATTTGTATGTTATCTTAGAATTGATGAGGATCACCACATCTTACCATTCAGTTCTCTTACTGAAGCCTTCTTCTCATTTCTGCCGGATTGGTTTCTCAAGATCTTCGGTCTCTACCCGGACCCAATTCCTCTTTCTTATTAATAGAGATCAGTTGAGACTTGAGAACGTCTCTATTAGGTTCATCACTTAATGCAATCTGGTATGCATGTAGTAGCTTAATTTTTTTGTTCTTGATTTAAGTCCATATTAGAAATTTATGTGGCTCTAAAGCATATTCATACCATGTGACCTTTGGAAGATTTTGACAAGTATACAAAAATCAATTTCTTTCTCTTACTCTTTCAGATAAGGGAGTATCCATAAAGCTCCAGCAACCATGAGTTTTGTTTTTCGTGGGGTCAGATCTGGTATTGAAAGTAGATTTTCGGGATTCATTCCTGAACAACGTGCAGTGGTATGCTCCTTAGATGTCTATCTCCTTTGTCTGTACTTGGTATGTTAGTATTGTTTGCATATGAAATAGTAGTAGATTATGATACGTTTTCTTCTTGTCCCTTCAGCGCGTACATGCAGCAAGGCCAATTAATACCAACTCGCTGGCTTTTCTTGTCACAGGTAATGTTTTTGTTCCTCAATTTCTGGTACCAAATGTTGACAATACCATTAGATGCTTAGAGTGCATGTCATAATTCTTATCTGCAAATAACTTGTTTGGCAGTGCTTTTGATGTTTACCATTTTAAATTCTCACCAGATGTCACCAAACTTTCTGGTAATTTCTCACTTGGTAACTAATGAGGACATGTCAGTTTTTTTCTGATCACTATCTCCTAGCCATTTTTTATTTTTTGTTTTTTTAAGTTGCAACTGAAGTGGTATTCTTCTGTATATATGCATGTAGCTCTGGGTAGTCCTTGGTATTTTTTTGACGGCAACAAGTCTTAGGATGTTCGCAACTTGCCAACAAGTCCATGCTCAGTCCCAAGCTCAGGCTGCAGCTGCCAGCGGCTTGCTTGGTCACACTGAATTCCGTGTACACATGCCACCATCTATAGCACTCGCAACAAGAGGGAGATTACAAGGATTAAGGCTTCAGCTTGCACTTCTTGACCGAGAATTTGATGACCTAGGTATGGCTGTTTTTGCTGAACAATTGCGTGGATGAATTTGATGACCTAGGTATGGTATAGAACTCACTTGAAATTTAAGATGAATTCACATATTTGTGCACTGAAGCTAGGATATATGTTGTCTTAGTTGGATTTAAAAAGTCAACTTAGAAGTGAAGTTAAACTGTTTTTGTTCATTCTGCTGCAGATTATGAGACTTTGAGAGCACTGGATACAGAGAATGGTTCTACGACTCCTTCAATGACTGAAGAAGAGATCAATGCCTTGCCTGTTCACAAATATAAGGTCACTGGTCTGCAGAGGTAAGCTGGAAGATTGTTTTTGATGGTTCTTTGGTTTGGTATTAATCATTTTTTGCATTGTTAACTGTATATTATGTCTATGACTTTTCAATTGTCAAGTGCTATTTACTCTTGCTCAGGCACAAGCTTTGTGTTAATTCTTATTTGAAGTGCAAATTTCATGCAGGTCAAAAACTGCATATTTGGATTTTAAACAAAGATTGTTGGCAATCTCTGTTGTTCTGAATGGAAGTGCGCCTTCCATTTATTATATTTTATGGGTTCTTCCAAATCATTGAAACAAATTGGATATAGATAAAAATATAATTTTGCTACCTTGACAGTCTCATGATTTCTATTTTATGGAGAAAAATAGATATTTTCCCTTGTTTAGAGCATGTCATAAAACATGTGGGTGAGCTGCTTTAGACTTCAGAAAGTGGCAATTCAAATGGGAAACCAAATTGCTGAGCTACTTGTTGTGTCCTTTATAGGTAGATTGTTTAATGTCTGAATCAACATGGCTTGGTGTCTGCTAAGAGTCTTCTCTTGTAGTTGAACAAAAACACATTCAAAACTGGGCAATTGATTTTGTTATTCTATTTGTCTTGTGTTAAATGCTATGACTAAGGGACTTAGTGGTCCATTCAGATGCAGATGACAAGAAATTACTTGCCGAGTTCTTCCATCTGCTGACCCTTTTTATCTGGTAAAGTTGATATGTATCATAGACATGAAGGGACTTGCCTTTTCTTTTTTGCACTGAGCCACAAAGCCATTGTCATAAAAAAAGCATGAAAACAACAAATAGTGGTTCTGGACACAAATATTTACTTCGTTTGTGTTTGCGATTTTTGCTCATTGAGTTGAATTGTGTCAGGAATTTTTTTATACATTGGTTCTATGGATTTTCAATAGCATAACTTTACAGTATTGGCATTACCATTTGATGGAAAGGTTAAAAATGTTCATGACAATTTTTTATATCTTGTAGTATGGAAGAACATCTGGGAGAGGAAAGGAAACCTATATACTGCTGTGTGGTCATTGAATTCATACTTGACCAATTAACTAATGGATGAAAGTGACTTTTATTACATCATTAATCGTCAATTTGGGTACAATACATATTTATCGGGGGGAAAAAAAAAGTTTCAATACATACTGAATCATTGTTGTGTGCATGAAAAGATTTTGATGAAAAGTTATATGTTCCCATGACTTAGAGAACCCTAGGATAGTAGAAGTCATTGGTATGGACCTGAAGAAAATAATTTCCTCCTACAAACACACAGAAAAAGGTTAGAAATGAATATAGTCCTAAAATGTTTGGAGTAGCACAAATTGAAAATAAGTTGAGAGGGAACATGCTAAGATGGTTTGGTCATATATAATGAAGACCTGTAGATGCAATGGTGAGGAAGAGTGATAGGATTACCATAAATGAAAATGATCAGGGAAGGGGGAAGACCTAGATTGATATGGGATGTTGTAGTAAAAAAGGATATGCAATAATTTAATTTTACTGAGCATATAGCCCTTGACAGAGCAGAATGGAAAAAAATGATTCATATAGACAACCGCACTTGATTGAGATACAAGGTTTAGTTTGGCTTGATAAATACACAAGAAAAGGTTTGTACATCTAGAATAGTTTATTATTGCCACTCTATTTGGTTTGGAGTTTTCAAAAACAGTTTTTTGATTTTTCAATTCGTATTTTGTTGCTTTTAGTGAATTTTAACATTTTAATAATTTTTTATAGATCCACTTAATCTAGGTTCACTTAAAAATTATAAACCTTGAACAAAGATCTTTAAGAAATTCATCGAATATAATAAAATAAATGTACTATTTTTTGTATTTTTTTAGTATTCAATGAATTTTTGAAAGATTTTTGCACAATTTTTATACTTTTTAACTGTGTGTAGATTAAATGGATCTAAAAATTACAAAAATTTGATTAAAATATTAAAAATATTCACAAAAAACAAAAAAATACAAATTGAAAACATAGAAAACTATTTTTGAATACTCCAAACCAAACAGAAGCTTTGTTATTTTATTTGAGAAATTAGTATGCATATATAATTTGTTTTGAGAGTGCTTTTCGGGGGCATGGTTTTGATTTTTTTTTGCAGATATTGCATATTAAGTTTTGCTGAACTTCTATTGAACTTTTAGAAATTGGAAATGATTTGATATAATTTTGGTTTTCTTGACAGTGAGGGGTCATCGCTGCAACAGGCCTCATCTTCTTCAGCTTTACCAGAGGTATTCGATATCATTTTTTCAAGTGTTGTTGCATTATCAATCAAAATAGGAAATTGCTAAATCCACAGCATTTTGGTTGTATCCATAACCTCCTCTGTCACAAGGTTGGCCCCATCCATATGAGAGGGAGGGCTGTGAATTTAGTAAATTCCTATGTTAAAAAAAAAGAAAAAAAAAGAAAAGAATTTTGTAAATTTTTAAAAATATATTTGATGATATTAAGCTACTTGTGAGTTGTTTTTATGTAGGTATTACTAGGTCACATGTTGAGTTTTGGGTGTTTTGCATGATAATTCAATTTTTCTGAATCCAAGTTGTTCACAAGAATCATGAGGCAAGAGAACAAAAGTTTGGGATCTTATACCATCGATATTCTCTTCGGCCCATCCATAAATTGTCACCATACATTGATGTGGTGGATAGCATTGTCTTTAGTCACATGCAATATGGCCTTCTCAGAAGACCCTTTGAAGTTGGCCTTCTCATCTCTGGAGGGCCATATTGGTCAATCTTACCTGTTTAAATTAGAGGTGATTTTCAATAGGTTTTGTAGAAAATGTTTTGTCCATCCATTATCGCCCTTTAATTATGTGTACTATTCTTGAGTATAATGGCCTTCTAATTCTTTAAGCGATTTCCAAGTCAAGTAGCTCTCAAATGTTCAGGGTATTTTCAAATTCTCTATGTTATGAAGATAGAAGCTGAATATAAAGTGAAATCGCATCTTTGGTGAATATACAAATAATACCTATTAATGTCATTGAATGTAGAAAAACTGTAATTTTTCTTGATGGGGAACTTGGGCACAATGAACCGTTAAGAGTCCATACTAGTGGCAACCGGTGATTGGATTGTTCTTTCTGCAGGCTCAATTGATCCACTGGGTGCATTTAATGTAGCCTAGCTGCCTTGCAAACTATTTTGGGTTGGGGGATCATTGATTGGGGGCTCATCGTCCTTTGACAAGGACAAGCAATGAGAGGCCAGGACATCTATCATCATGACCAAGGCCAAGGCATGGCTCTTTTGGTGCTAGTTTGTCTTGCTGCCATTGCCATTTGCATCCCTCTCAAGTTCCCTTGCCTTTACCTCAAGTTGGGCCCACTTAGACTATAAGTCATCTTACGTGGCACACCTCCACCCTGACATGGCAACCCAGTGAAATATATTGTCCTTTTTTTTTATTTTTTTATTTTAAATTTCCCTTTTCAGTATAAATCAAGAGAAACATACAAAATGCTCTTTGCCTGGTGCTGGATGCTATGTGATGATCATGTCAAATTATCCCGGGGATGCCTGTTTTATTTAACATATCTGACATCGGCATTAGCAGCTGTATATCTTCATAATGAGATTCTTCTAGGCCTCTTAAATCAGCTCACTGCTCTCCATAGTCCATATCATACATTCGATTTTTTAGTTCTCACAAAGCATCGTGTGTTTGTTTGTGTGCATGCGTATCTTTGCGTGAATCCTCACAGCTTGTCAGCAATATAATTTTGGAATGGGCAACATTATCTTTACTTTTTGTGGACATTTTTTAATTTCTGCCCTTGAATTTCACTCACAGACAAATCAAGACTCGAACAAGGCAGATGCAAACAAGAAGACTTCGGAAGATGAATTGACATGCACAATTTGCTTGGAGCAAGTTAACAGGGGAGAGCTTGTTCGAAGCTTGCCATGTTTGCATCAGGTATCTCTCACACTTTTCATTCAATGTATGTAACATGATGATCCTGATCTTCTGATAGTTCAATCAAATATTCAATTACTTTGATGAGTTTTCAAATGATTAACCTTAAAATTTTCTTTTAAATGTTTTCGAATCACTCATTTAAATGTATAATATTGAAAATAAGTTCTGTATCTTAGGTTCAAAAAAAAAGTTCTGTATTTTTGGGTACATTATAAGTAAGCTTTCATTATTAACTTTGTATAGCTTCTGTGTACCTCTCTGAGGTTTGGCATTGATGCTCTCCTTTGGAACATTTCCTGATATGTTTTTATGGGTCTTGCTAACAAGAGCCCCTAGGGCACAAGTGAAAAACAAAAAAATTGAAGAACACAAGACAATTTTTACTAAATTTAATGCACTTTTATTGAAATCAATACACTTTCTAATATTTTCACATCTTTTTAAGACACTTCTTACACACTTCTCAGCATTAAATAATGCCTAGGGGGCACTTGTAAGCATTTGCCTTTTTTTATTTTTGTTTTTTTGGTCTATTTTCTAATTGTTTTGCATGCTGCATTATTCGTATATGGGTAGACTCCAATCCACTATGTTCCAATTTGCTTGAATACAGAAATAGAGAGAGGCTAGATAACTTTAGCAAATGTCGGTGTCCTAAATGTGCTGCATGCATGTAATTCCCATCTGTGTAGGCTTCTCTGTTTTGCCCTATAAATAGACAAGTCCCCCCCCCCCCCCTTCACAAAAAAAAAAATAAAATAAAATAAATTCTGACTTACTAAAAACACAAGTCTCATCATAGTAAATTCAAGTTCTAAAATAATATTCTCATCATAGTCTCATCTTTAATTATTGAGCTGCTACTCTGTTTTGCAGTTCCATGCCAACTGCATCGATCCATGGCTGCGTCAGCAAGGCACTTGTCCTGTATGTAAACTCTCAGTGGGGTCAGGATGGTCAGAAAGCCGGGATAGTGAGGCAGATGGTGATGACATGGTTTAGGGGCCTGTACTCTAATTACTCTGCATATGCAATAAAGTCTGTTTGTCTGTCTCTCATCATGCTACGTTATCATTGGTGTATATATAGTGGCTTGTATGATGTTAAAAGTTGGTTCTTGATGTTGAGAATGCATGAATTCTATGCATCCACTAATGTCTTCGTAGATTTGATGTTTTAGCTCTCTCTCTTTGTCACACTAGTAGGAATGATGTCGGATGGAATTAATGCTTTCAAACCCTCTCTAATTCTCTGAACCTGCAATCACATACAGTGACTCTTTGCCAGCTTGGGTAATCAGCCATGAGACACTCCAATGCTTAAGTTAGTAGCTTGCAGGTAATACTCTCCGTAGAAGGGTATGAATGCTCAAAGATTGCGTACCTGGGTGTGATGAATAACTTGACTTTTATGTTTACATGCTTGACCATTGAGAGATTTGTGCAACTACTTGCCTCGCCCTAGTAGGCAGGATTGTGCCCCCTATCTGGGATTTTGCATGGAACAATAAGCATGATCCCATTCTTTGTGGACGTACTTTTGACTTAGCTCACCCAATGCTTGAGGTTTGTCTGGCCTGCTGCCTGGACATGTTGGCCAAGCTCTTGGGTTGCGTCTCACGCTCAACTGTGCTTGGCTGAGTGGCGCAACTGTATGAAATTACCTCCCGCACCAGTGTTTCGCTTCACAACCATCACTAAAGCTCAGCTTGGTTGTGTTGGTGTTTCACTTTTCATATTCCGATCTTTGCCACCACCATTAAAGCCTCGGCACAACTGGTTTTGTGTCACCTACATGATTGGTTTGAAAATAACATGGCAGAAAATAGGTGAAGGAATCATAAAATAATTGAATGCCGGCACTGTATATGCTTTTGGTGCTATTTTTATATTGATGCCATTGATTTGTTCACAAGATATGGGACTGTCTTCTGGTGCTACTGTGTGAAATTTGTGTGCAGGTAGATCTTCCCAAACTGGACGGGAATAACCATAATGTATGAAAATATGAACTGTACATTGTATTTATTAGCTAATGGTTTATCAGTTTTGGTCGATGTTTACATGACAACCTATGTATTTAACAAGCATAATAATCCATCCAGACAAAGTATTGAAGATTGTTGAGTAACCATAGGTGATGTTTGTTTGGGTTGACATGATCTTAAAAATTTTGAACAGACATGGATGATATTTGTATAATCTAATGATTAGCGAAAGAAAATTGAGTCCATAACCGGACATGGTAATGATTGGGGACTATTGAATTCCAAGAAGGAAGTGTGATACAGAATGGGGGAGTAAGGAGAAGTTTGGACTAATTTATTAAATAGCAAAATTGATAAGATTCTGTAAACCATTTTTCATAATTCTATGGTTCTGTTTAGATAATGAATTTGGATAGAGATTTGAAAAGGAAAAGGAAAAATTTGAATGAAATATAGTTATACTTCATTCACATTTTTTATTTCTTTTTTTAAATTCATGATCTAAATACAGTCTAAATCAATTCAAACATAAGACATGATAGGGATTAGTAATTTTATTAGGATTAATAGTCTTAGATATGCTAATCTCATATAATTTAGTCTATCCTAACAAATACGGTTACAATTGTATGAAAATATGAGCCATAAACGAATGGTTTATCAGTTTTGGTCGATGTTTACGTGACAAGTTGTATTTGACAAAGAAGCCTCTCTACCATTATCATCATCATTGTCATTGCCATCATCATCATCTTTTGACAAAATCAAACAAATAAGTTCTAGCTTGTTTCCACAATTATACTTTATTGGATGAACTGGATACAACAATGATTGAGACTCCTTTTTTTTGGAGACCCTCACAATCCCCTTTGGATCTCCACTATTGATGTATGTGTGAGGCCCACACCATCAATGGTGGAGATCCAAAGGGGGTTGTGGGGGTTTCCAAAAAATGGAGGTCTCAAGCATTTTTCAATCGGCATAATCCTGATTTCTGACAAACGGAGGAGGCTAACAAGAGATGAACTTGAATTGGGCAGGCAGAGAGCAAACTATCAAATGATTATGTTGATACATTTGAGTAATTAATTAATAAATACAATGTCTGGTCACTAACTTGAAAAAATAAATAAAATAAAATAAAATAAAATAAATAAAAGACAAGTCTATCAATATGATCCAAAATATTCTAAGTCTAAGTTGTAAGTTAGTAGTATTTTATAGTGAAAATTACAATTCAATGGTGTTTTGATAAAATAATTACAAATTTATGAAAAAATAATTACAAATTTATGAAAAAATTTATGACTTTAATTATTAATTTATCACTCATATAAAATTATTTTAAAAAATCTACACTCAATTGTAATTGTCCCTATGTTATGGGGGATTCTATTTGCACCAAAAAAAATTATTAAGTATGCCAAATTTCTAAATACACTCTATTAAATTATTTAGGATTATAATTTACTTTCAGTACACCCTATATTTTTTTTTGAAATTAACCTTCAAGATACACACAAATAATAAACAACTCAAAAACTCCAAATACTACTACTTAAAAAAACTCTTCAACAAATTTCTCATTACAACTACTCCTTTTGATCTTGCTTCACTCCACTGTTTAACAAACTAAAGCTGATCACCACAACTATTTGCCCACGAAACATGTCTATTATTTTCCTCAATGCACATGCTGAATAAACATAAAAAATTTGATATTACATTTGACCTTGCTCATTTTATTGCTCATTTTTTTTTCCTACCAAAAAATATGGATACATGTTCCTGTCTTTATATGTGGTATCAAACAAACATGGATTCTACTCTACCTGCATATTGCTTCCTTTATCTTTGAATGAAGTCCAGATCCAAAATCTTTAATACTTTTTTTTTTCTTTTTTTTCTTGGTACAACGGAAACAAAAACAAACAAAAGGGGCTACACCCTCTCCCTAGATAAACCTAACATATGAGCCACCAAGAGGCTGCGCACTTCTACTGGGGATCGTTCACCACCAGGAGCTCCACAGGTTGCTCCACACCAAGCTTCGCCATAGCATCAGCACCAGAATTCCCCCGCGCAGGACATGTTGAATTGTGCATTCACATCCTCTCAAGATGATCCTTGCGTCTTCTATCAAGCCTCAAAAAGGGCAGTCTCCACTCGAGCCATCTTCCAACAGCTTAACAACTTGTGTAGCATCCGTCTCCACAATCACCTTAGTCATACCCCTCTGGAGAAGAATGGTCAACCCCTTGTACACCGCCCAAAGCTCTGCTTCCAAACTTGAGCAATTTTCTAATCTGCCATAATACCTGCTTATCTAGCTTCCTGCTTCATCTCGGAACAACCCACCAAACCCAACATATCCTTACCTCTTGTGCATCCATCTGTATTCAACTTAATAGTACCTGCAAAAGGAGGGAAACCATCTAATTAGTGGGGGTGACAACTTGGGGTAAAAACTAGAAATAGTAAATGCCAAGTGAATATCTCTAGAAAAATCAAATATAAATTTCAAGCTCTCCTGTGTAGTGATATCTCTGTTTTCAAACCATTTGGTGCTGCAGTTTTTCTAAATCTTCCATAGAGAAACAACAAACAAGGTACTCCAAGAGATATGTTCATAAGCAGTAGCCCTTTTTTTAAGTTAAATTTGATCCATTCCAGCACAGGTTTGTTCTAGGTATCTCTATACCACTCCCTTCCAAAAAAAGAGGACCAAATAACAACAGCTTTCGGACAAACCCTAAAAATATTATTCATATCTTCCATTTCCAAACAACTAAAACAAGAAGAAACATTAGTTAAATCCCTTTTCAAACATAAGCTATCAGTGAGGAGTTTCCCATGGAGCACAATCCATAAGAAACTCTAAAGTTTTTGAGGGATTTTCAATTTCCACGTCCAATGCCAATCCAACTCATAACCAGGTTGATTATTGATAAGGTCATAAGCATCAGCTGAAGAGAACTCCCTATCCAAGCTTCCTTTCCAGATAGGGACATCCGGAACAGGGTTTGCTCTTGGAGGGGGAATGGACAGAATACCCGAAACACTAGACGGAGGCAGATTATTCAACAAAGTCAAGTCCCAATCTCCTTCATTCGTGAAGAGGGAGTTCACCTTGTCATTATTGGTAAGCTGGTGGATGGGATTTTCTACCTAGAGCGGTTTATCCCACACCGCCAATCCTCTCAAATTCTCACTTTAGCACCATCACCAATTTTCCACTTAACCCCTTTAGCCAGTATCTTTTTGGTACTCATCATACTCCTTCATACATTAGAAGCTTTTCGCTTATTCTTCGAAGTATAGAACCCCTCTTTCTTAAGATATTTGGCCCTCAAAACCTCAGTCCAGAGGCCATCATTCTCACATAGAATTTTCCAACCCAGCCTGGTAAGCAGGGCTAGGTTTTGATCTTTTTCTTTTTTTGATTCTCAACCCTCCAAACCTTTTCCTTCTACACATATCATCCCATTTAATAAGATGAAATTAACCATGTTTGAAACAAACACAACCTCGAAAGAGCCGTAATAACAAAACCACAATCACATCGATAATAGCTAGTGCAGTACTTATGAAGATAGATTTTTGTATACATATAACTAATTGCCCCTTTGCTTAGTTAATGTTGATATAGTGTAATATATTGTTTGTTTTCATCTCATTGTCTAATCCCGTGGCGAACGTATTCTTTGTTCTTGCCACTAACGAGCTTGAATCTCATTTTCTTTAGCATCCGAAACCGGTCGGACTGGTCAGGATCAACAATCCAGGTCTCAGGATTACCCTCCCCAACTCCAATAAATATCTTGTCAGGTGTGGGGACGGAATCTGACGGACTATTATCACTTATGATGAAAAACAATATGTGGTGGACCACAGCTTCGTCTTTAGCATCTTGTCTCAATTGAACATTCTCAATTAATTTTATACCTTTAACCACGATCTTGTCTGATTGACAGTCACATCTCTTATTACCCAACTCAATACCATTAAGCAATCTGGTCACACCTTTATTATCAAATTTAACGTCCCTTAATTGTTCATCGTACAACTGCAACTTCCTTACTCCCCTCTTAGTCTTCTTAATATAACGCGGAATATTCTGAACGTACCGTCGGCGAATATACGTCGCCTTAAAAGGTGCACGACCACGGTAACTCCGTTTATATCCACTGACCGCCTGTGTCCTTGACCTCCGGTACGCAAAGAAGGTCCGATACTGGTTGCTTCCTATTCCTTCCATTTTTTATAAAACACTCCAAATCTTTTATTCTACAAATTCTA